GCAGGTTCATTTTTACAAAGTCATTGTATATACTTTAACACTAATTAAACATAAATCCAAAGTAGTGCATGTGCCACTTTTCAAAGCAATAAAATAGGCAATGGGCTAGAGGCAATCAGAGATACATGATGTCAGTTACTGGCAGAGGCAGCCGCTATCCTTCCTTCACAGAGATATTTTAACACTTTGTCCCAGGAGAGATTCTCTGAGTTTCTGAGAATCAACAATTTAGGAGTCATGATTTCTTCTCTTTTTACACTGGCATATTATCACCATTCAAAATTGATATGGCAAACATGTTGGCAAACAGTTGCTTATTGAAATAACAAGCAGACGTAGCAACATTAACATTCATTTGGAGTTGTGTTTCTGGGGATCTGATGAATGTAAGTCCAATATTCACCCTCCTTTTAGCTCTGTATAGTCTCCACTAACTCCTAAGAAACATATCTGACTGTTAAGCTGCCGAAAGCTCCACTGTGTTCATGAGCTGGTTGCTGACTGTGTGGTGCTGAGCAGGTAGTGTGCAGAGGATTTATCAGAGCTTTTTTGTGTGTTTCTCTCAAAACCGCTGCCTGCTGCGGCGGGATTGGGGTTGATAAGAGAGGTGACAATAAATGAAAAGAGTTCAATTGTGTCCCATAAAACAAAAACAATGAGCTGAAAGACGCTGAAACCCCCTGTAGAGCTGAGGTGAACTGCAGAGTTTGGAGATAATACTACAGTCACCATTGAATCCATTGTTCATGTAAACATTTTGATTACAGCAGCTTAAAAGTATGGGCAGGTACATTGAAGCCTATGAAATGTGTGTATGTGATTTTGTTTATTCCCTCAGCTGCCAATTAAGCTGGCAGTGCACTCAGAACAAACTTTCCCAAAATAGAAATGCAGTCCAACATGGAACCACATACAAATTTGCATTCAGCATGTTTCTGTGCCTCCTTTTAAAATCCATCCATACAATGACGCTGGGCATTCACAGAAATTAAAAACTGTAACCCTTTTACAAAAACTCTCAGGTTTGTGCACTGCATGAAACCAGGAGGAAGGTTGGAGATGGTATTATGAAGTTATGAACAAAGGCAGAAAAAGAAACAGAAGCTTTTCCACACAGAAAAACACAAGCAGATGCGGTGTTTAACACCAGTGAAGGCTGGTGTATAAGGAAAGGAATTCCTCCAGTTTAGACTACAGATGCTACAAACAGGAAGCTTTGTTTTATTCTGCAAACATGTTGCCAAATGTTGTTCTCACAGTAGGGATAATGGTAATGAATAATCACACCTTCACACCAGCAGCTTCCTGCTGCAGCTGTTGGCTAATGAACTTTCTCCACTGGAGCGTGTGAGGGATAAGTACCTTGCTCAGAGACAGGGAATTCAAATTACTGATAGATCGTAGGGGTGTAACGATCCATTGATCTGATCTTTCAGTGATCAGTGATCCAAAGTCATTGATGCAAAGTGAAAACATTGATCTGCATTTTCATCTTTAGGTTACACCTTTATTTTGAAACTCTGTGTCACGGTCAAACAGCAGCAGGCAGATAATGACAAGCAGCCAAGAAAAAGATACGAGGATAATGTTATTTATTCTGTAATAAATCAGCAATAAATCAGAAAATAGGGGTCAACAGACAGAGCAGAGTATGAGACTTTCATGGTATAATTACTGTCTCAGAAAATGTCATGGTTTCATGGTATGACGGCATTGCAGAATTATGATTATCCTAAGTCAAAATGAACCTGAAAGTAATGAAATGAAATGGTTGCTTGAGGTTGAACACACATTTTATTTCTAGAACTGAAATTTGAAACCACATTTTTTAAATTTTAACGTAAGCAGCAAACTAAGCTAAACACTTAGACTACATACAAACAGCTGTCATTTCAGCGTATCTGTAATAATTCGCGACTAGCTAAACTAGCGTGCTGTCCTTGTGTAAAAATGGCTTTTACTCACATACTGTAGGTTTAATTGCACCTTCAGTCATGAGTGTAGCTGCCGTCAAGTCGAGTAATTTTCCAGTTATCTTCACTTTGTTTCCACCGTGGCCTCTTTGCTGTTTACTGACTACTACGTCATGTGGGTTTGTGTTTGTATGTGGAGGAGTTCAGCCCCCGTCACAGAGCGCAGGATGATAATGAATTAAACCAAAATGTTACCGATAAAAGAACCAATTACGTCGGAGCTTATCAGTACTACAGTCTTTGATAATTTAGCTCCGGGGCTCGTTTAATACTGGATTTTGGTACACATCCCTATACATTTGTAACGTTATTTTTTAAACAGAAAATATACTTTTTATATTGTGATATTTACTGATGATGACACATAGTATCGCCAACAGCAAGTAGCAGAGCTTGTTATTAGCAAAGGTCATTTTAGCTCACCAGAAGCTTTCAGCTCCCTTGAGATCTTTTTCCAAAGTATCGGGGATATTTCCTCATCTTAACTGCATTAGTCAGCCGGTCCTTGTCCATTGTGGTGCTGACAGATATAAGTAGAATACACCATCCAACAAAAGTTCATTTCAAAACTGCGCAGCATGTTGCTCATGACCAATTGGGAGACCTCTTTCTGTCAGAATCAAATCCAAAATAATGCCATGTAGAGAAAATATGGTTTCTTCAGAGACATATTTTGCCATGACTCATCACCCTAAAAAGAAAATCAAAACATGACCTTACTAGTAAACACAACGTGCACTGCTCTGCTCCCCTCCTTCATGTTGCCGTGCTCGGCTCACAGCCTGTCAGACATTGGTGGCTCCGCTTGTCTGTTTATAAACAAACATAATATTTTAATTGGGTTGTCATATTGCTTATTACTAATGCAATACAAGTCGGATATAGCGCTGCAACGCCGTCAGCACAGGTTGCTCATGTAGGCTACTTTTTAGTTTGGCTGAATGTGTCATTGTGCTAAATGTCATGTCATGTCATGTACTTTATTTATATAGCACTTTACAACGACCACAGGTGAATCGAAGTGCTTCACAAGAGATTAAAAAACAATTAAAAACACAACACACAACAGATTCATGAATAAAAAACAGCAAATAAAAGGATAAAACAATAAAATAAAATAGGAGTGTCACCACATTACTGAGTATTAAAAGCCATCCTAAATAAATAAGTTTTAAGTTTAGATTTGAAGAGGCTCAGGTCAGAGGCAAGACATTTGTCAGTGGGGAGTTTATTCCAGAACCTGGGTGCGGCAACAGAAAAAGCTCGGTCACCTCAGTGTTTGTATTTAGACCTGGGCTCTTCCAACAAGAGTTGGTTAGAGGACCTCAGAGCCCTGCCACGCTCACGGACAGTTAGCATCTCAGATAAATAAGATGGGGCGAGGCCATTTAGAGCTTTAAAACCAAACATTAAAAGTTTAAAATCAATTCTAAAACGAACTGGGAGCCAGTGGAGGGAATAAAGGACAGGACTAATGTGCTCTCGTCTGCTAGTGTTAGTTAAAAGGCAGGCAGCTGCATTTTGCACAAGTTGAAGGCGGCTAAGAGCAGACTGGGAGACGGCAATATACAGTGCATTGCAGTAGTCGAGTCTAGAACTAATAAAAGCATGAATAGCTTTATCAAGGTCATGACGGCTTAAAAATGTTTTGACTCTGGCTAAAAGACGTAGTTGGAAAAAGCTTGTCTTAACAGCATTGTCAATCTGTTTATCAAATTTCAAATGGTTGTCAAAAAATACCCCCAGATTTCTGACGGTAGGGCTACATGTAGAAGGCAAGGCACGCAAGCCGGTCGTCCCAGTATGCCCAAACACAATGCGCTCTGTCTTATCCTCATTAAATGAAGAAAATTTTGAGTTAACCAATTCTTGATATCAACAATACAGTCAAGTAAGGAACTTAGTGCATTTTTGTCTGTTGGCTTCAATGACAGATAGATTTGCAAGTCATCTGACCACCAGACCGGACTGGCATACTACTTTACACAGATCTAGAAAAACTCTGCAATAACCCGGAGAACCGAAAAGAAGAGCAGAGTTCAGCAGAGCCCAAACAAACTGAGGTGTCATCCTCGTAATGACACTGTTTTTGAGAAATGGAAGAAAAAGTGTTGCAGTACAGATTGTGATGTACGAGAGGACAATAAATACATGACTGTTATATTTATCTGTCTCTTTAAAAGTGCAACTAATTCCAAAGTTGGAGAGAAAATGGAAACCTGTATAATTCAAAGTGACTTTAAAGAGTTGCTTTGCGCACATGCTTAATGTTGGGTCACTCATCTCTTTTTAATTTTAAAAGCGGTACAAAGACACTACATCAGGGGAAAAAACCTTAATGATCCATCCAGCTACAATTTTGACAAATTGGAAAATATAAAAATGAATAATAAGATAAACCTCAGTGAAGGAAACATTTAAATGGAAATATGTTTGCTGCTAATGAATCACTAGTTTCTCCAGATGCAAAGTTTTAATTAAATCATTGGATTTTGCTTTTACAAGAAAATGTGCAACTTTTCCCTCCCAGTGAGGGGTCTGGTTCATTATACCACTGTGGCTCACAGTTACTACTACAAATGATGTTTTTGCTGTCAACTGATTAAAAGTTGCACACACAAACCTTTATAACACATAAATCAGTGCTAAGCAGTGCCAAGAATATCTTTCTACCTTTTGAAGGTGAGTTTTGTGTTTCTCATCATGCCACAGAGCAGATGTGTTGCTTAATCAGAGGCGGCCTTGGCGCTCCTCCTGGAGCGCCGGGATAGGAAGCGTCTCCGACCGCAGCACGAATGCATGTTCAAAATAATCACACACCCAAAGTACACCAGCCTCAGCTGGCCTCGGAAGTGCTGTCTGTTTTGTTCCTCTGCCAGCAGACAGCTGTGGGTATTAGCAGCACACTTCAGCATTGGAGTGTTTTTTACAGCCCAGGAGTCGCAAATCCTTCATTACTGATTCGTCTCAAAGCAAATGTCAGTAAACATGAAGTCAACCCAAATCAAATCAACTTCTGACATCAAATAATACGACATAGATCAGTTTTATATTTACAAAGATGATTTCCACTTGCATTCTGTCATCCAGGTGCACGAGCATCACTGTACACTTCATACTGTATGTCTACACACTGAATCACATCCAGGGCCCATTATATTATAAAATATCTGTACAACAACACAGGAGAAAAATACAAACAGCTACAAAAAATACATCCATACAACATTTTACTGTATTTAAGGGGGACCTGTTATGCTTTTCAGTAGTTTGCGTCTTACATATAGTGTTACAATAAAGGATGTTCATATTAAACATGGCCAAAGTGTCAAATAATGAGGTAAATTAATGTGACAGTAATCCTTGTCAGCAAACACCTCAGGTTTCCTACCACTCTCAATACTCAGGTCGAACTTCTTTTTACTGTGGCCACAGTATGACGTCACAGTGTGCTGGATTTCCTTATATGGTCATCTGTTCCAGACACGCTTCTGCAAGTGTTTACATTACGTAGACTGTATTGCTAAATGAAACTACATGCTAATGTCAGACAAACACCTAATCTTGGTTGCCAATGTTGTAAATTTCTCCATGATATCGGATCATATTCCTGCTGGAACATGTGTGGCTGTGTTTAGAAACTTCTATTGGTGATTTTTTTTTACAGTAAAAAGTGCCATTGTTCTCTATTACAGTCACTCTCTGACTGTAAGCGCAGTGCTAACAGAGTTTCCCACAGAAATAAATTGTATGTGTGGCGGCAACTGACGGGGGCGGGGGTCGGTAAACTTCTTAAATTTTCTTTTTTTTTCTTTTTTCTGAATTCGGAGGTTATTGCAGGTCCCTGAACACGGCGCAAGCAGAACTTTCCATGAGGACTTTTTTCCTCAGCAGCAGTCTGTTGAGTTTGAGTTGCAGGGTGGATAATAGAGGAAGAAACTGTTTGATTATCACATGCAAGACTTCCTCTGGATTAGTTTGTGGTCAGATCGATTAGAGCTGATCAAATTAGATTTATGGATTAGAGTAGCAGCGGCTGCAGAGGCGAGTGAAAGCAGACTGTCTTCTGCTGCTGTTACACTGGTTAGTCCCAGCATTGGATTGTGGTGTGGGTGGTTTCCATAGGAACGCAGACAGTTTCATCGAAAGTAATGTGGGAAAACAATAAAACTATTGACGAGAGTACGCTTAAAGAGAGACCCAGCTCGGAAACTATAAAGTCTATATATGGCAGCAGATGCAGATGTTGTGGTGGTGCGCCACAGATAAATTAATATGTACTGTAGAAAACCCTGGGTAATGTGCATGTAGCTACATGCTAACATCAGGAAAACATGTAATCTTGGTTGCTGATGCTAACTTGTCCCCGATGTCAGATAGGAGTGGGAATCACTATAAGATCCACGGCACGATATTATTGCGATACTAAAGGCACGATACAATATTACTGCGATTTTAAGTATGTTGCAATATGCTGAGTATTGTGATAAAAAAAAGTGCCTTTTTTTCAACTGTGAATTATTTATTATCAGTTTAATCTAGATAAAGTTTTCATCTGTTCGTCTCACCTCAGCCATATTTTTTGTAGCAGCAAATTTCAGATCATATTCCTTTTGGAACATTTCCAGTTGTGATCTGAAGCTTTTATTGGTGATTTTTCACAGTAAAAAGTGGCACTTTTCTCCATAACAGTCATCCCCTCGACTGTAATGAAGGTGCAGAGATGCCAGGTTAAGGATGACCTGGATACGCTGACCAATCAGAGCAGACCAGACTTTTTTGGGAAGAGGGCGCTTAAAAAAGACAGGCGATAGAATAAAGCGTCTCAGACAGAGGTGGAACACAGGTGTTCCAGCATAGTATAAGGAGAATTAAGTGTTTTTTGACCATTAAAGCATGAACATGTTCTAGTAGAAACCTTAAATACAGGTATGTGCCTGAAAATGGGCATAATAGGTCACCTTAAATATCAAATACTGCATTAGAGATTACAGCCTATATTTTAATCACTCTGAGCTGTGACTAAGAATACAGGATCTGATTGGTTTGTCTAATAATCATCACTGCAGTCTCAGTGTTTACTTATATGTACACTATACAGTTTAAGTCATGATTTCAGAATGGACCATCTTGAAGTCCTGGACAAACTGACAGATCATCCCAAAGAACTCCTGAGAGTCTTGATCCGACGGTTCACCAAATTTAACCTTGACAGGGAGAAACACAGGATTAGTTGCTTGGAAATTAAAAACTTAAGTCAGACAGCAATTACACTCTGAGACCTCTGAGCTTATAAAAATTATTCTGCAATTAGCAACTGCGTTCACTTTCCTAAGTGAACTGGTGCCAAGGTCATGTGAATTCATCTCAACAATGGTCTTTTGATATAATTAACTCATATACTGCCTCAGCATGCAATCCATTCCTTGAGTGCACTTATGCAATAAGGTAGACATGCACTGCTGAATTAATACTTAACACCTAGGTGGTTAAGGGTCACTGGCATAAAAGTGTTAGTAATTCTCAAGTCAGACTATCAGAGAGGGTCACAGTGTCTAATTGTACTAATTGGCTTATTGCATGCTGTTCACTGTGCAGGTTGAAGTTCAGGCTCAAGCTGTGTTGCCATCACTCTCTCCTCATTTTCTTTACTTCTCATTATGTTTGACAGATATTAAAATTCCATTAGGGATGATACTCTCTTATTCTGTTTGTATGGTTACTGACAAAACCCAATGTACTATAAAGTCATTCATGACAGGTTTTTTAAAAGAACAGTTTGACATTTTGGGATGTACGCTGTTTGCTTTCTTGCTGAGAGTTGTGCCACGTTTCCACTTTTTTTGGTTTGTCTTAAGCAAAGTTGTAGATTGTACCTGGTTCTGTTTTTTTGGTACCACGGCTGTCAACGTTCCAAGCGAGCTAAGCAAATGCCAGAAGGTGGAGTAAAAACACTGCAGACAAATGATTGGCCAGAGAGAATCGTCACTAGAATTGTCACTTGAGCAACACAAGACTTGCTGCACAAACCCATACCCATACACATGATGTTTGTTAGTTAAAAATATCAACCAACCATTCTTTGGTCAACCAGGAAGGTCATTAGTCAGCAAGATTTAATTTCAAAACCGTGAATCTCTATTAGGAGCTGCTCCTTGTCAAAATAAATCAAAACCTATATGACTGGACCATGTGGGAGTTTAATTTGAAAGGACAGACACAGGAAGTGTCCAAGCTCAGCAGTCAGACAGGAGTCAGGTTAATTTCCAGGGCTGGTACCTGCGGTTATTCCACAGGCTAGTTAGTAAAATGTCGGGCAGGAAATCCAAAGTGTGGGATCATTTTGAGAAGGTGAAGGACGAACCCAAGGTGATATGTAAACTCATCTTCATTGGTCGACTACAAACATGACGTATCATCTGAAACATGGAAGTAGCTACATGCCCATTAGCCCACAGCGTCATTAACAGGCGGCTCGCTCAGTGTGTGACGTGCACTTGGAGATAAAATATAGGCCTATATTAATGAAGGTTCATTAGTACGGTTTTGTATTTCTTTGTAATGATACTACTCTTTTTCACACCTTGAACTTAAACCATTGTGTTGCCCCGCCCAAAATGTATAATTTTATAATTAAGTTAATATCTAGTCGACTAATGGCCCGAAATGATGACTATTGGTCAACTAGGAAAATCCTTAATTGGGGGCGGCCCTCGTGAAAACGCTCAGTGATATAAGTGTCTTGTCTCACGCGATTCACATCATCAACACCAGCTAGTTAGCTATAGCTTTACTTAGTTTAGTTAGCTATACTTAACAGTTTTACAGCAAACTGTGACTATCTTGACTTGCAGAATGATCTTTTAAATTGTCAAACATCATATATGTAATTTATGGTACAATTCAAGTCTCGTCGTTGGCTACCACAAAAGAAATAATGCCCCATTGTGGTCCACCTGATTATTATAACAGATTATATAACATGTAATTAGTGAGCATTACAAGTGCTGGTAGGCAGATTTTGTTACCTTTTGACAGCCAGGCTAGCTGTATCATCCTGTTCCCAGTCTTTATGCTAAGCTAAGCTGCTAACTGCAGATCAGGGTTTTCTGGAGGCAGTTAAAGTGTCATTGGTTGATGACAGAGCCAAACAACTTCAGGTTGTCAAAGTCTCACTGTGCCTGGCAAATCACCCATTTAACAAAACACAGTTGCCACAGTTAGTGCAAATCTTAATCACCGACACTGATTATAATTAAGAACATCATTATTTCAAGCAGAGCACCGAAGTTGAGCTTTTATTAGCTGTTTCATTCACAATCTCTGGCTGACTCACAGCTGTATGGCTATCAGCTGACCAATCTCACCCACTTATATTCATGCAGGTGTACAGCACATTGATTATAACCTGACACCTCATTGCACTGTTACTTTGCAGCTCCTTCTATCAGTCCAACTTCCTCCTTATGTACTGTATGTTTTATATTGTATCACAAATGTAATTGTACGATTTAATGTTGCTGTGTACATGTATTTAGGGGGGATTTGTTCACCTGGCAGATTCCTTCTTTCCGGCTGAAGCTTTTCAGCCAAATTAACTGTGAAACCATTCGCTTTAAATCATTAATTCCTTGGCACGCAACCAACAATTACTTTATTAAAAGATTGACAAATGGAGCAGTTATAAACTACATTAACTCCAGCTCCTTAAGAATACACCTCTAAAAATTGTATTACTGTATTTAAAGTTTAAACATGAAATAAGAAATGGACATTTTTTTTTAGATACTATTCAACCATAAATTTTATCTGAACTCTGACTGAACCAGTCATAATTACATTGGTAAAGTAACAGCTAAATTGCCTGTGAAATGTCCCTCGGCTCCTCCAAAAGCTTAAAATGTAATTGCTGACAGTGAGTGTGTTTGTATTAGCCTTGTGACATTTCTGAGAGGTTTACACAGGTGTAAGATGCCTGCTTTCTACACAGTCCTTAATAGTGAGAGGGAGGTGTCGGCTGATAATAAGCACCTGTTCTCTCTATAATGTATTGCAGTGTTCCATCAGATATGCAGATTCATCCATTTGCATACGTTTCTCTCAATATTGTGCACAGTATGCCCTGATATAACAAACCAGTTGAGGCTTGAGATTTATTTTTGAGTGACATCATCCTCTCCATAACCCATTAGCTGATTAGCCTTGTTGATTTTTATGCATGTTGAATATTTGCGTGCATTTTTACAAACGTGATGTGCCTAGTAAAGCCAACAAATCTACAACCCACACTTCAGAATAGCTTTAGGAGAATAAAGCGAGTGCCTGTTGAAGGAATCAATGTCTCTCCACGTTAATAAGTGAGGATAAGAAGGATAATGAGATTGCCTGCTGTTTGCATTGGCTGCATGTGTTATCATACCGGGGTGTTTAATGCTATGCTGCAAAACTAATAAACAAAATTCTTTAAATGGATAATTGGTGTGCTGAATCCACCAATGTCAGCAGTAGAATTTTTTTGAAAAATGTAGCACATATAATCACAATTCTAAAATGAGTAATATGTGCAAATAGCAAAGGTAACACTACATTTTAAAGCTGGGTTAGGCAGTTTTATTTTGGCGTCACTGGGCAAAAATCCCAGCCCTCCTGTGTGCATGTTCTCCCCGTGTCAGCGTGGGTTTCCTCCAGGTGCTCCAGCTTCCTCCCACAGTCCAAAGACATGCAGGTTAATTGGTGACTCTAAATTGTCCGTAGGTGTGAATATGAGTGTAAATGGTTGTCTGTCTCTATGTGTCAGCCCTGTGATAGTCTGGTGACCTGTCCAGGGTGAACCCCACCTCTCACCCAGTGTCAGCTGGGACAGGTTCCAACCCCCCGTGACCCCCAACAAGATAAGCGGATACAGAAAATGAATGAATGAATGAATGAATGGGCAAAAATCCAATAATAAACTTTGAGCTTATTGTAAATCAAGTGGTTTGAGAGAACACTGGACTTCTGCAGTTTTTAAAAAATCTAGCCCATGATGGGAAACTTTGGCCAGTCACAGCTCCGTGGGACTGGACAGCCCCAACTCTCTGCCAGATCAGGAAACTTTCAGTTGCTGCCGTTACACAAGTTAGACATAGCCCTGCTGCTGGCCACCAGCCCGCTGTGACATCCAGCAGTGGAGGGTTTGCACTACCTGAATTTCAGCTGTTGCAGCTGCCAACCAAAGGTCTGTCTCTGCAGCAGCTGCCCAGTCAGAGTCCACAGCGAGGCCGGTTCTACGCAGGGGCAAGAGGGGGCAGTGCCCCCTTAAACAAATGTCTTGCCCCCTCAAATCAAATCCGCCGAAAAAGGCACAAAACTGAAAAGTTTTCTCATCTATCTCCACTCCATTTCATGCTGTGTGCCGGCTGTGTGTGTGATCTAACGTTACTGTCTGCATTCGGCAGAGACACTCCCCCCAGTAAACACCCAATCACTATTTAGTATGCAAATGAGCCAAGATGCATCGGCGTCAGGTTTCTCAGTCTCAGTGAGGCAGAATGCAGCAGTGAAGTGAAGCTACGTTAAACTCGTCGTAGCGTCTTGTGTCGTGAGATACTTAATATATAGTTAACAACAAAGTGTGAGCATAGAGAGTGAGCATGTCAGTGCGAACGTTTCTTCAATCACACAAGCACAGTGAGAGATGAGTGCCTGCTGCATGTCACATACTGAGGACAAATGCCCTGTGTGTGCCAGACCCCTACATAAAGCCCCGTCCAGCCTCTAGTTCTGCATGTTTTTTACAAAGCTTTTATTAACTTTTCCCTCCTGCAGCTTTCAGCAGCTCAAAGGAGAGTGAAGAGAAATCTGTTAAATTGCTAACAAAAAAAACAAAAAATGACAAAAAACAAAACAAAAAAATATAAAATGTTCTCCTCTAGCCTATATCTGTTGTGTTTGTTAGTTCTGTCAGTTTGATACATTTTTTTTTATAAGACTAGCTTTGGTAAACACTGGCTATAGTGAGGTTATTGTAATTATTAGGTTCAAATTTATTTCATATGTCTAGATGCCTAATGGCCATCCAAAAAGATAAATGTTAAGATGTTGGTTGTGCCTGGATGAAGGATATTTTTATTTTATTTTTTCTTAATTTTTATTTTATTTTTTGTTTATTTTATTTTTCAGTTTTCCTCCCTGAGGGATTGCCACCTTATTGTAGTCAGGGGGTTTG